GATCCGGGAGCGGTGCCAGGAGCAGGACCCCTTGGTGTGTGCCAACTACCAGTCCTACTTCCGGACCATCGAGGAGCTCCAGCAGAAGGTGAGGGGTGGGCACCAGGCAGCCTTTAGCAGGAAGCTGTAGGAACAGAATCTGAGCTCTGATTGAGAAACAACACGAGCTCTTGCTGTGATTGACAGGTTGAGGTCTGGCCTTTCCGTCTTGTTTTCTCGAGGGCCCGTCTGATTTCAGACTTGGGACTGTTAGGTCTAAATATTTGCATAGTGTTAGTCTAGGCGGAGGTAGCAGCACTTTGCATAAATAAGCTGTAATTAAAAGCCGCCTCTGAATGTATTCATGCATTTGCTAAGCTCCGGAATTATTACCCCGAGGTGAGGAAAAGGACTGAGCTCAGGAAGGAAGCTGAGGAAATGGGACCTTTTGTAAGCATTGGACCATTTTCTCTCTCCCTCGTCTGAGCTTGTGGCTGCTCATGATGCTACTGGCCTTCCTCTTCTAGGGACCTCATTATCCTGACATTGTCGTCCTGATCTTCACACCTCCGGGCTTCTCCTATTACACAGTGTCCACTGAGGGCCAAAAATACTTGGCTCAAATCAGAAAAATTGGAAACTACCTAGAAGGAAATAGCACCAAGCCATGCAGGGTATCTGGGAGACTGCAACTGCTTCCCCGGCCCAGTCCCCTGCAATTTCTAGTTTACTTATGTATTTTCCCCACTTGATAGAAAGTTTCTTGAGGGCAGGATCCAGGGCTTACTCATTTTGTATCCTCAGCTTCTAGAACCATGCCAGGCATACACTAGGTGTTTTTAATACGTATTAATTATTACTATTATTATCAGCTTTTCAGTATTACTTGTTAGGAAAGAAAAAAAGATTATCTACTCATACTTTTCTTGCATATTTTAGTTTTCCTTTTTTCCAATTTAATTTCTCAAATACTCGTTCAGCACCTATTGTACCTAGACAGCATTTAATAGTCTTAAATAAGATACAGTATGATTTCTCATCCTGATCTTACCAAATACGCACATTAGTAAGGATTGTTGTTGGAGAAAAATAACCAAGTTCTTGCTCACTCTAGAGTGTTTTGGGTCTTCTAGATCCTGTGTAGCAAGTCTGAGAACGCCAGGCTGGTGGTGCAGATTGACAACGCCAAGCTGGCCTCTGACGACTTCAGGACCAAGTGAGTGAGCAAGGCGGGCACTGTTGCAAATCTCTCTTCTCTCTCCTCCTGTTTGTCAGTCTGTTGTTGACACTGACAAACAAGGATGGAGCTTTTTCCAGACGCTTTCCCCAAGATCTACGCAGGCATTGCACACCAGAGCTCAAGCTCCCTCCTGCCGTCCCCAGACTCCTCCTCCTGCTGCTTCTCCTCTGTAAAGTGACATCCCCCAATCGCACTGTGAGTCAGTGTGGACATCTTGGCCCCTGATATTCTACTATGCACAGAGCTCAATTGTGAGAATAAGGGAAGTGTATTAATTTTGGAAATCTCACAATTTCTGAGCTTTTAGTCTCCAAATCCACTAGTTTATTTAAAAAAATAATAATGACCGGTCCATTTTCCTCCAGGAGCTACTGCTCGATATTGAAAACCTAAACAAACGAGATGGCAATAAAACCTACAAACCCTAATTCCCAGTTGTTTGACAAACCAAACCATAGTGGAGTCAAGGCCAGGCCTGTCCCTGCCTACCTTGTCCCTGATCCTGCTATGATCACAGGTACGAGACCGAGCTGTCCCTGCGGCAGCTGGTGGAGTCGGACATCAACGGCCTGCGCAGGATCCTGGACGAGCTGACCCTGTGCAGGTCCGACCTGGAGGCCCAGGTGGAGTCCCTGAAGGAGGAGCTGCTGTCCCTCAAGCAGAACCACGAGCAGGTGAAGTTCCCCAAAGAGCGACAGGATCAGACTCGCCAGGGTCTGTTTCCCAACCTCCACGGAGACTGGGCCAGGCTGTCAGGGGAAGCTCAATTAGCCAAGGAAGCTATTCTGCAAACAAAAAGGGATCTGTAGAGAATGAGTAATCTAAGATTCAGTGATATGAGATTAGGATTTTTCTGCCAGAGGCAGCAATGAGAGTGAAGGAAGCTGGCAAGCCCAGTAGTGAGGGAAGGTCAGTGCCAAGGCAGCAGCTGCAGCCTCTTCCGTGGCCAGGGTGGAGCACTCCTGGGGTGATCTTCTGCCCCAGCTCTCCATCTTGTAACTGGAGAGAGCAGGAGGGCTCTCAGGAGGGCACATGGCAGACAGGGCTGAGCTGGAATAAAACCCTCCTCACTCCCGTCCAGAGCTCTTTCTGCTATTCAGCGTTGCTATTCAGCGTTGCTTTCCAGCGACATTGAGCAAAACGCTCACTCACCATCACGGCTCAGTCATACACAAGGAAGAAGGCAGATGTTTTACACAAACTTCCAATCCCAGAACAATGTACATGGTGACAGTTCATATTAATTGAGTACTTATCATATACCAAACATTGTGCTAAGTGCTTTAGAACTCCAGAGGCAGTTCTCATTTTAGGATGAAGAAATCGAGGCTTCAAGAAGCTTCCAGAAGCTATAAAATACGTGGTAGAGACAAAACCCAATTCAAATCTGTCTAACATCCGCTTAAGCCCAAGTCCCAAGCTGTGCTTAGCAGTAAGGAGAATAGATGCTTATTGCCTTCAGCAAAGTCCACACTGGTGGAATCAACAGATCACCAGTTAAGTCTGTTCTGTCCCAGGAGGGAAGATTTTGAAGCAAGCATTCTTCATTCCTTCTCTGGCCGGACTCTATCCTTTTCATCACCCACACCTGAGAATCAAACATAAGCGCTATGCAGTGTGCAGCAAAAGCCCTGGACTGGGCATCTGGGGACCAGAGTTTACACTGGGGTCACCTCGTCTCAGCTCTGAGGCTAACCCTGCCTCTCTCTAAATGAGGAGTGGTCCACTGAGCACGAAGGGCAGAGGGAGGTCGCGGACTTGAAAGCACTTTGCGAAGTGGACTACTCGGATTAGTCACTGAATATAGGACCTGTTTAATGAGAGGATCAGAGGAAACAAAGCTTGTTGAACGCTTAAGAATGAGCAGAAGCTGGACGGCATTCTCTCAAGGAGAGCACCAGCGTCCTTTGTGAAATTTTAACTTTTGCTCTTTCTCCATCAGGAAGTCAACACCCTGCGCTGCCAGATCGGAGACCGCCTCAACGTGGAGGTGGACGCCGCCCCCACCGTGGACCTGAACCAGGT